ATATTTATTATCGATAGGTTGACATGATTTTAATTAGTTCACTCCAGCGAGCATCTACTGTAGCTCAATTTGTATATAGGAAATTGGAAATTCGAATCAGTATTGAAATTTATGCAAAGCGAACAAAAATATATGCGAGTAGGAGAGCGAGAAGGAGAGAGCGATATTCATACGTAAATGAAATGTGACTCAATAGAATTTCAATTATTTCAGCAGAATACACTTGATTACATTTATCTGACTGCGGAGGAGTTGGGTATATATGTGTGTGTGTGTGTGGTAACTCTGCAGAGTTGTCGTGCTGTCTTACAGCCTGTTTGATTTTCATATTTTTATATTTTTATTGGCATTGCCTGAAAGGTGAATTCCTACAGATAAACAGAACCAGCCTCCACGGCTCTACAGCTCCACTCCTTCAGGCCTCCAGCTCCTTTTGCTTTTCTTTTTATTTTTTTGGCTCGTCAATGCCAATGTATTTCCAATTGAATGCATAGAACGCTTCAACGCGTGCATTTTTGTTGCCCAAATGTCGTTACGCAATGGCTAAAAACAATTCTGGGCCAAGTAATTAGAATCAATTGACCCTGAACGCTTTTTCCAGTTGACCTGTTTCCTGATATCTCAACTCGCACCGCCCACTCGCCCGCCCGCCCACTCGCCTTGATCCGAACGCAACAAAGCAAAAACAATCAAATCAAAATCCAACTCCAGACAACAAATTGTCTTTAAAATAAATATAAATATATAAATTGGATATGGCAAACAAATGCCAGTTCCACCTTTCGCTGACTTCAATTGACAATTGCTTTTGCTACACATAAAGCAGGAGGCGAGAGCGAGAGAGAGAGAGAGAGGAGGAATGTCGTGCCAGACGAGGAGGACTCTATATATATCTTTCATTGCTTTTTGACAGCCAATTGAGCTTTAAATAATCAATTTATGACTTTAGTTGGCATAACATTTATGTCTTCTCTCTTTTTCCTCTCTCTCTCTCTCTAACTCTCTCTCTGTGTCTCTGCTCATTTCTATATTATTTAACCTGTTTTCTTATCACTTACTCTATTTAGGTTTCTTTACCTGTCTGACTTGTTTAATTCTTACTATCTATCTTTCTCTCTCTCTTTCTTTTGCTCTCCATTTTTCCCTTGATTTTCTGTAGTATTTTTTCCCACGCCTTTGTCACATCATTTATAGTTCGTCCCTCTGTATTCTACATCTGTCGCTCTCTAACTCACTCTAGGTATCTGCTTCTTATGCCTTCTTTCAGTATCTCTCTCTCTCTCTCTCTTGTCTTCTTTTACTATCTCTCTCTCTCTCTCTCTCTCTTGCTTTCTTCTACTATTTATCTTTCTCTCTCTTTCTATATAATTTTTCCTCTTTCGATCTCTTTCTTCCTATAGTTCCTAGCAGTTTCCTTATCTCTTTCTTGCCCTGTCTTATTCTATATCCATCTTTCTCTCTCTTTCTCTCTCTTGCTCACATATTCGATTGGTCCTCTCACTTCAGTCCATTTATTAATTCTTTTATGCTCCTTTCCTTCTCTTCGTTTTGTCTTATGTCTGACAAACGTTTCTCTCTTTGTCGCCCCCAGTCTATCTCTCTCTCTTCCTCTCATTTCTGTCATTCCACTTGCTTTTCTCAGTTCTTATGTCTTCGCATTAGATGAATTCTTATATCTTTCAGGTTCATCCACTTCTCACTTTTTCAACTTCCGTCAATTTTTGTGAATTGATTTGTCTGAGAAGCACTGAGAGGGGCGGCAAAGCCCTTATTCAGCAGATGAATATTAATTGAATAACTTTTTCTCTCCTCTCACTGACTTGGCTTTATTATTGTTTTCACCATTTTATGGCTCATAATGTGCGTTGTTGTATATATTATCCATAGCCATGGCGCTAACAAACTTGTTCAGTCTCATTTTTCTTGTTACGCTTTTTATGGAGCTGAAGCGTAGTTCGCACTCAGCCAATTGCAAGCCGATTTCAATTGATATGCGATTACCATGTTGGTAATCCTCGAGTATTGTTAGTTTACTGAATTTGTGATGAATGGCAGCTGGTAAAAAACGAAAGAGAGAGAGAGAGGGAGAGAGAGAGAGAGAAAGCATGAGTTTGTTGCCGATTCATAACTCGATGTTCGAATGTTTGTATTATGATATTTTGTGCTGTTCGCATTTAGCATATTTGCAAACATTTTTCAGCATTCGCAACTCATTGAGCAATCGAGTTGCTGCCACTCCAACCCAACTCGCACTCAGTGCCCAAACCGAGAGTCCGAATTCGCATTTGGTGTCCCGAGTCCATTGGGGAATGCGGATTCCATACAGCAGCAGCTGTACATTGTTTTTCCTTTTCCTTTTCTCTTTTCTTTTTATTTGTTGCCTTTTGTTACCATGTTTTCTTTACTAGTGTGTGTGTGTGTGTGTGTGTGTGTGTGAAGCTTGCAAACTGTTTATTATTTTGTCGACAAATGCGTGTTCGAACCAGAGACCAAACAATCCTAACACAAAGCATAACCATATTGTCCTGACGTGTTTCCCTGTCTTCCTCAGCCCCTTCTCTTCCCCTCTCACTTTGCTGTCCATGTCTCTTGACCAGTCGAATGGCCAGTGTCCGTGGTACGGTCTGGCAAAGGCGCATAAAATTCGCATCATTGATTTCTATTTCGTTCAGAGCTCATTAAACAATCGGATAAACTTTAAGAATCAACAACGGCAACAACAGAAACAGCAGCAGCAGCAGCAACAGCAACAGCAAACGGCACAGATGGACTGACAGCTCTTTGGTGGCAAGTCTGGGACCTTGGGATCTAGTTGTATTCCAGTTGGAGCTCATGTTGATTGTGCGTGAGATACGCCCACACACGCACGCACACACATAGACCCAAATGCTAAGCGACGACCTCCTTCGTCTTGTACAACTGGGCCTCAGCAGCAAAGGTCAAGCTCAACAGATTTTTCACTCATTTTTATATACTACACAGACATCGGTTGGGCGTGTTAAGCGTATTTCATATCAAATATACCCTATTATTTAAACGCAGAAAGGTAGACATGGTTTCAAAGACTATTTACAGGGTATCTTATAGTCATGCGAGCTATCATTGTAGCTCTTCAATGGAATTTGTCAATTCTTAAAGAAAAAACTTGATATAGTATACTCAGAGGAACTTTAGCAGCATGTGCAGGGTATAGCTAAGTCGATCAATGTGAACAATTTGCAAAACTCATAAACAAATTGTTAATTTGGAAAGCTTGCTTCATGTTCATAAAACTGTCTGACTACTATACAGGGTATATTATAGACGATTCACATACAGGGTATATACTAGTCGAGTTGCTTGCGTTTAAGCAAGCTAAGTTGTTGAGTAGCTATAGTAAAGGTATTCATATCATAGCTGCTTACAGTTTGCTTTAACCCTTTCATTAGTGAAGCTATAGGGTATATACTAGTCGAGCATACTCTCATACTCTTTTTAGTTTATTTTATATATTTAAAAGTAGGAAAAACACGTGCCTTCAAGCGACTATCATGTGCAGGGTATCATCAAGTCTGGCCCTTTTATCTAGCTTATTTAATTCTTATATGCAAATGATATGCACACGCACTCATGCTAATGTCATCCAGGTAACAATTTCTACCTGTGTTTTAGTTAATGCTAATTACACGGTATATTTAAGTCGAGCATGCTTTGGGTACAGTTGCGCTGAGCTTAGCTGCGTTTTAAAGTCAGCAAATGGCAAGCTGTTTCGACAAAACATAAAGCACAAACAGCACCAACTGGCGTTGTGCATGGCGCGGCCAGCTTCTGGCACGAGAATCGCCGAGAAGGGCGCAACATCAGAAAAGAGAAAAAAAAGAAATCATTGAAAATTGTCGTGTAATTAGCCGTTAGACTCTCGGCTCAAAATTGTTGTGTGTTGCTTTAAGTACGTGTCGTGCCACATTTGCAAATGCGCTTCAAATTGCTCATCCGCACACACACACACACACAGTGGCTGGGTTGTGGGTGTGTGTGTGTGTATGTGATTTGGAAAATCATTGAGTTGTAAATGGGATTCGAGGCTGCACGTTCGTGCATACAAATCGTTGCCTTAAAGCGACCCTCGGCTCGTTTTGGCTGCCTCGTTGACTTGGCCCAAATCGAAGAAATGAAATTTAAATTTTATGCAAATACCGAACACACACACACACACACATATATCCCGCTAGCTGTGCTGACAATGTGCTAAGCATCGCATTTGGCCATTTTCTGGGTTATTTTTTGTTTTGCGCTTTGCAATTTGCCGCGCTCAACTTTTTGCATTTTGGTGACAAAACGCCAAAAACGCACCAAAAGCCAAAAAGTTGTTTACGCTTTTCTAAATACCCTCTACTTATTAGTCAAGATGCATATTGATTAGTAAAGAATATTGTATCGATAATATACGCTTAGTATGTCTATTCAGTCTATTACATAGACAGGCTTTACGTATGTCATATAAGACTACAGTTATCGATCATCGACGAAAATTAAAAATAACTCAACGAGATACAACACAAATATGTAGCAAAAATCGAAGTCGAGCTTGTTATTTGCTACTCCAAATAAATCAAGTTTTAGCCAAATCGATAAATATCGATAGCGTCAGCCAATATTGTAGATCATAAGAGCTAAAAGCATACTTATTAGTAAATGCTAACAAGTCTACATAAAACAATCAAAACTTAGCACAACTTTATATTAGCAAAATCGATAAATATCGATATCAATCGCACATACAATAAGCATAGCTCAGAGATTATAAGAGCTGAGCGCACTAAATTTGATCAAGACTAATCAACTTATTGAATGAATTCGAACTGATTTATCAATGTCAGCCACAATCGATAAATATCGAGTGCATGTTCTTATTGCATAAGCGTATACGATAGATTATAGAAGCTAGAGCCAATCAATTTTGTGCGTTGCCACAAACTATTGAAAATTTATAACAGCTATCTAAACTTTTCATATTTCAGCAATACCGATAAATATCGATAACTGTTGCATCACATTCATAACCATACTTCGAAGATCATAGCTAGCGCCATTCGTCTTGGTGAGTTGATTCAAAGTAATTTGCAAATTATTTCAAATCAATCGATAAATATCGATAACAAATCGTGTCGACTCGCAGCGATACCTAACAATGTTAAATATTTCCAACACACAGATTCAAACACCTCTTAGCTGTGCAGCCAGTGACCATTCGACACACACTACTCATACAGGGTATCTTATAGTCGCAACCGCTCAAACGTCGCGCAGTCGCTTACTTGTTTGCAGCTGTTGCTGCTGCTGTCCTGTGATTAGTTTTAGCTTTTGTGCAATTTATGTTTGTTGTTTGGGTAAATAAATAAATAAATAGTATTTCATTTGTGCAGCGAGCCCACTGTTGGTCACCAAATATTTGGAGCATTTAATGCCCCAGTGTTATTAGTTGAACACTCGCTGATTCCCCATGGACGTGGACGACCCCCAAAGTTAGATTAACTCCACAATCGTATTGAATTGCAGCCTGGCCTGATGTGCGTGTTGGTGTGGTGCTTAGAGCGTTTTATTGCACGCAATCAATACTAGAATGGATTGTAGTGTTGGTAAACGGTTTTTTATAGCTTGGCTTTCCGCACTGCTGTTCAACACTTGATAGCTTGCTTACGGGTCATTAATGTACTTTTAATGTTGCCTGCTAGCTTTTATGAATGCGTTTTAGTGTTGGTAAGCTCGTACTTATAGTTAAACTAATAACACTAATTTTTAATGTGTTCACTTAACACAAGCTGCATAGCCAGGAGTTCCTAAAGTGTCCTAAAAATTGCTCAATAAATGCTTGAGTTTTGTATGCCATGATTTGCTTATAAAATTGCAATTGCTTTGCTGAAGCTTTCAAAGCAGCCAATTTCCCATATGTCAGTGTTGGTAAACGTGTGTTTATTGTGTAAATTCTAAGATTGCTTAGCGAATGTGCTCTGAAAACACTTCACAGCTGACAATGGGCCTTCAACTCACTCATTTTAAGCCTTTAACAGAATTCACTTGCACTTTGCAGTGTTTTAAAACGTTCAACTATAGTTTCTTAATGACGTTACAAATATGCCTTCAATTGACAGAAATTATGCGTTGCGTGTGGCCGACGCATGCATTGAAACTTTGCCGGTTGCCATTTGTCATGTTAGAACAAATTAATGGAATCTGCATTTATGAACGGCAATCGCATTTGCATTTAGCCACAAAAATATGCAACAAATTTTGCCAACAGGGTATGCGTAGATTACTCTGATGGCGTATGTAAACTTTCGGAAGTAACAAATTTTCTAGCACTTCGCTCGTTGGTTTGGTGTCTCTTTGTCTGGATGCCTATTGCTGTTGACGCATCAACAAAGAATACAAACAAAAAAGTAGGCGAAGTCCAACAGATACCACATCCAACAATAGCCAATCAACAACACTTTGTATACCCTGTACAAGGGATATGCTAAGCTTGGGAAATAGTTGCAGCTAGAGAAGGAAATATATTCCACAAAGGTCTGAAGTATTAGATTCCGACAAACATTAGCTATGCATATGAGAAACCCAAAGCCATTCGCTCAATGAATGTAAATCTGATTGAATATGGGACTTCAAATCTAATTCAATTGCGAACAAATCGATAACTTTCTCATGCAATCGATAAAAATCGATATGGCATTTCAGTTGTTTAAGCATATCCCAGAAGTTCACATAGAAATAACCACAGTCAGCATGGTCATGGTGTTTGCTAGTCGTGCATGCCCGGCTAAAGCACGCTCACTGGCTTTATCCAGTGCTCAGATGCTCTATGATATTATTTTATGTAAATTTTCATGGAATGCATATAAAATACACAGACAGACCTTCAACAGCACCCACACACCGACACATATCTCTATATGCTTATAATGTATACAGATATATCTGTGTATTTTATATTCCTATGATACTCACAAATATTGTTGTTTGGTCGTCAAAGCATATGAGCATTTTTAAATAAACCTCGCAGCCGCGCAACACAAAAATGTTTTGCAAGAGAAATTAAACACCGAGATAAAGCATATCAAGTTCCCTCGTTAGCCGGGTAGCTGAATTCTCTTTTGTAAAATATGTTAACTAAAAGAGAAAACTGCTTTTTTCCATGTCAAAGTGTAGTTGAAATTAATTTTAATATGATTATTTAACATTTTTACCGGAGAGTGAAACGCATTCAGCATTCACACAATGCAAAAAGCGCAAAATTTAATGTGCAATTTGATGCCAATTTGCCATGGCCCAAAGGGCATAGCTCTACATGAAGTGCTAAGCTTGTGGATTCATTACTCGAAGACTGCGCGGGAGCGCATCGTAAAGCGATAGCAGGTGAGGGTATACGCCAGTATATCAGTTACTTTCCCAATTCTGTCTATGCAACTAAATTCAATTTATGTTCTTAAATAGATGATGTATATATACCCCATATGTGGCGCCCGTTTGCCAGGGTATTTCATTATCTACGCACCGAAAACATAATTCATATAATCTCTCTAAGCTGAGCATCCTTTCGCCCTACGCACACTTGTCTGTCAGCATTTTGTGCAATTTTGGGAAGTCTGTAATCAGTGCGTTTGGCACGCATCTAACATGATTCAGATAACTTGCTTTCAGATACAATTACTCCGCAGAGAGTTTGGCTATTAATTCTTGGTAATAAGTTTCGGGTTCACTACGTGCGCCCAGCTAAGTAATTAATTAATCAAATGTCACACGGCTGTCCGAAATGCAACATATAATTGTCTTTTCTGCAACGAGCATTTTGTATATTTCAAAAGCTACAAAGTGAGTGTCATGTTCAAATTATTCAATATACACACATATGTACAGATGTCACTGTAGCCCGAGCTGCCCGTCAGCTGGCAATGATTAACCAGCTCTCCGCATATCCACTTCCAACTCAGATGGTGCGTAATTAACATGCATTGGTTTCAACACTTTTACATGTGGAGCGAACGCAAATGCAATTAGATGCAGGTGCGTATATCCAGCTGCAGATACATATACAGATAGAGATACAGATAGAGATAGAGTTAGGGATAGGGATACAGATGAGACTCATTAACATTTGTGAGAATCACTGAGAAGAGTCACACAAGCATTCAGATGCTGCTAATCATACAGCAATAAAAAAGTTTTATTGTTCCAGCAAGAAATTGCAATTTTCATTATTTCAGACCTCAGATTTGTCAAGTTTACATGAGACGAGGCCAGCCTTTGGCTCGAACAATAAGATTTATGTGCAGCTCTTAACTGGCTTTCATTTGCAGCCCAGCATCAGCTCGGCCTTAGGGCCGGAACTTTAGACCAAAACCCAAACTCAAGCTGTGTAACGTGGAGTGTGTGCCTGTCAGTTGAGTTTCCTGCGACAACAATCGAATCAGAGACTCCGCCTCAAGTTCGTGTTGCTTGTTTATACGCGTTGTTGTTGTACTCGAGTTGAGAGTTGGGCATCTGGCTAGGCACTTCTCGCATCTTCATTGAGTTGCAGCTAATTTAAGCCTTAAAGTGCAGTTAGTCAAACCAACTAACTGTAAATGTTTGTTTAAACAGAAATCACATTCCCCTAGAAGACCCCTTAAAGAGCCAACAGCTGCTTACATGATGTTTAAGTGTTAACGGAATGTCAAACAGTGTAAAAATTAACTGAAAATAACTGTAAAGTGTTGATATAACATCATGTTAAGGCAAGACTGCACCCACCCACATATCATACTGATATCCACAGTTTATTCCAGCACAACTTTGTCATTAACAGAACTCATATATCATAATGTTAAAAAGCAGCTTACTATACCGTAAAATGATTATTAACAGCTTTTTTCACACTTAACATAATGTTAAGTTGACCTTTTAAACGATATGCATTTGCCGGCCCTTTCGAGCTAATATGACATATTTATTATTAGCTGGCTCTACGACCTGTATGAGGAAATTTGTCAAAAATGCATACTTAATAGTGCTGAGACCCTGAGTCCAAATCTCGCAAACCCTTTGCACGCCATTAAACTAAATACTCGCATGATCTCAAGCAGATGGTCGCGTTTATGTTTGGCTTACGCATAATTAAATGTGACTAACCCAAAGAGCTCAACCAAAACATAAATATAACAAGTGGCAATAATGTTACAAGTGTGTAGGCTCGACTAGCAGATGCCCTGTAAGATATATCCATATGCATAACTTCCATGTGGACCTCATACTCGAAGCTCTCTAACTGACTAACAAATCTTAAATCAACTGGTTTTGAATCGAGATAAGTTGATATACCCCATTGCTTTGTTGCAGGGCAACTTTTTGGGCTTAACGAAAGCACATGCAAATAGTGGTTGGAAGTTGTATGTGAGAAAGGCCAAAATGAATTCAAAATATAAAACAAAATAAAGCAAAACTGAAACAAAGCTGAAAACAACGATGCGAACTGCCCAAAACAAGTAGCAGCTCTGGGCAGTAACTGACTGCATGATACTCTACTCAACTCTGATGAGGGAAGTCAACTGTAGAGCTTGTAGAGCCAGAATCTACGAACTGGTACACGGCAACATATATATTCCCAATACTAAACCAATATACTCTCTTTGTCACTTAGGGAGCGAGCATGGAAAAAAAATGACTACCAAAATATGCTGACGACCTTTTCACGACGAGAGAAATTTTCATAAATTATTTGAAAAATGTTTGAAATGATTTACGCTCATTAATCTTGTCTGTGTGAGCGTGTGTGTGAGCGTGTGTGTGTGTGTATGTGTGAGTGTGTGTCCGTGTGTGTGCGCTGTGGTTTGGTTAGCGGCCATTTTTAAGGGGCATTTCTGACAGCTTTAGTTTTTGGCAATTCAATTAGGCCAAAATGAAAGCATGTTGAAAAATTGTTTTGTTGCATTAACCCATTGTTGGCCCCCAAAAAGCCAGCCGCAAGGACAGCGGCAACAACAGCAGCAACAGCAACAACCACAGCCACAGACTCCCGTCTGATGTGTGTCTAAGGCAATGTTTTTCGCCTGTTAAACACCTATCTGAAAAGGGGTATATCGATTCATATGTAAGCTTTGAACTTCGATGAGTTTTTATGGAAATTACAGAAGTCAAAAATATGGGTACAGCAGCACCTCGTCATGTAGCTACCCATATTCACTCAATTTACACTAGTGGAATCATTAAATTATCTCTCTGGAGATATTGTATCATGTAAGTTACTAGCTAGTTGAGAACTG